TTGCTAAAAACATATCTTTGATTCTTTGTAGTAGGAAGTCATTCAATCTACACAATATATAGACATTAATAAAAAATTGATTGAAAAAGCATATTCGTGAAAATATTCATGTAATTGACGAATTAATAGACGCGTTTCATTACAAGGCATATTCCAAAAGTGAAGAAATAAAGAAGTTGACATTTTGATTCAATCATTTGTTCATCTAATACTTATGTTGACCAAAAACTATTTAACATATAGTCCAAACACATATAATATCAAAATAAAACCAACGATTTACAAACAATATCCTAATTAGAACGACTTCTTATTTATCAATTAACAAAAAAATATATCAAATCAAATTAAAAAAAACTTCATTCATATTTTTATTAACTTAAAACAAATCTCGACATGAAAATACACCAATTGTTAATAATTTAGGTATATAAAAATTTTGAAAAATTGGCAGATGGGAATTGTGGGAGAGCAATTAGACATAGATTTTGTGATATCAGTAGGAGATAATTTCTACGATGATGGATTAAAAGGAGACAATGATCCTTCCTTCGAAGAATCTTTCTCTCATATCTACACCCATCCTAGTCTCCAAAAACAGTGGTATTCTGGTAATTTTACTAATGAAATTCTACATGAATGTTTAATTTTTGATTGTATATCAAATAACAATCAAATGTTATTGCAGTTTTGGGTAACCATGATTACAGAGGAAATGTTTCAGCACAATTAAGTCATGTTCTCACCCAAAAAGATTGGAGATGGTTTTGTCGCAGATCTTTAATTTTGTCTTATCCTCAGGTTCCTTTTTTTCATATACTCTAATACAACAAGAGATTCAATTATAATTTTGGTTGATTAGTGATCAATATTTTTTGGTGGTTATAGGAATGGTGGAATTTTTCTTGGTGGATACAAATCCATTTGTTGAGAAATATTTCACAGATCCAGGAGATGACACTTATGATTGGAGCAACGTTTTGCCTAGAAAAAAACATATCTCAAATCTCTTACATGTATGTAATCCTTTAATATATATTAACCAGAAATCTACATCTTGGTTTGATATTTTTATAACAATTGTTTATAATTTTGGTTATTGAAATATCAGGATTTGGATTTAGAGCTGAAAAAGTCGCGTGCGACGTGGAAATTTGTCGTGGGACATCATGGTATCAAAACCGCAGGTCAACACGGTGTGACCCAAGAGCTTGTTGATCAACTTCTTCCAATTCTAGAGGTATCTTATC